TGCTATTTTGAAACTATGTGAATCTGAAATTAAACATAATAATAATAATTTGAGACAACTGATATGTGGCTTAGATTTATAGTGCTTGGAAATCTATGACTTTTGTTTGTGTTCTTGTTAAAAATATATTGTTTAATTTACTGTCTTGTATTGAGATGAGAATTGAAGTGAATTCAATTGATTTGCCTGAACTTTGTAATTGCGGCCTCGAGCTATGGTCATGTTATAGGTCACTGAATTTTGAATAGTAATGTTACTTTTCAAAACTCGGAACACTTCATTTTTTTCAATCATGAATTGAATGCAAACTTTATAATACTACGAACTCATTGAACCTCAAACATTCATATTCGAGAAGGATTTTCATGATGTCTCTTGCAATTTTTGGGAATACAGTCAGAAATGCAAAGTTCTTGCAGAGTTCAGTTGGGCAATTATTCACCAAAAACCATGCTTGAGAAGGAAGTATGCCTACTTTGCTCAAAGAGATTGGTGGATGAGAGTTAAAAGGACAATTCCAAATCTAATTGTTGCGCCACCAACGGCTTAAGAAAAGTCTCATTTTTGTGTTTGAAGGAAACATCAGCGTTGTTCAGACAACTTTTCCTAAACCTATTTAAACAAGTGGCAGGATGTTGGACCCGACACTTCGAGTATTCTTAGACGGCTTTTTTACGCTGAGCCACAAAGGTATGCACAGTATACCTTCCAAAACTATGTTTCTGTTTGTTTACTAGAGTCAGACAGAGTTGTCTGTCGGAATTAACCCTCAAGTCGTAATTCTTTTATTTCTTTATGTAATGTGTCTCTTTTCTAACATGTGCTATTTTTTAATTTTTGATTCTTTGCCAAGCATATGACAAGGCAATATTTTGGCTCAATTGAGATCTCCAAAAAACACCATTATCAAGATTTGTTTTTACATATTCCTTTGTTTCCAATGCAATATCAGAGCTTATTATAACATTGGATAGGTTCAATGCCACATATAGTATATATATATATATGTCCTAGTGGGACACCTAGTGCCAATGCTTAGTAGTGTAGGAGGTCTGTATTACACAGATGTTTACCATGAACTAAAAGGCAAAAATTATAATATATGTCAAGCAAAGCTACAAAATAAATAATCTTTGATACACAAACATTTGCAATTTCAAAGGAAAAAGTACACGATTACAACGGAAATGATAGTTTTAAATTTTAACCAGGAATTAATATATTTGGTTACATCCCAAGCACACAAATCTTAGCTAGAACATCATACATCCACATAAGCATATGTTTGATATAATACAATCTTAACCAAAAGGAGGAAAGTGTACAGTTACTTATCAAGCAAATAGATTAAAGATTGCTGAGGGCAACAAACATTTAAGCTACCACTTTGTATTTCTACTGGTTGTTGATGTAGCATATTGTTGAGGTTAACCATTTATTTGGAGCGCGACCCTGGAAGTAACTTTGATCAACAATAAAATAAACATGCCTTTTATTAGAATAAAAAAAGAAAAGAAAAATGAGAAAATGGAAATTGAGATGCTTCAATAGCAGAGAAAGATGTTATTTTTGAGAGTAATGTTTATACATTACAAGAATTTCTCAATTCAGATTTTCTTACCACTAGTCACAATAGTGGATCTACTGTTATTGAAGGTGGTAAGCTTTTTACTTTTAACTTTTAAAATGTAGCTGTTCAGTGTTGATCTTTGCTTCCAAACATAATCTCAAACCTTAACCCGATTGTTTTTGTTGCACTGGATGTGTTTCACAGAGCCTCATCTTCTGTTGAATTTTTTAATACGCCTTCAGTCATTGTCGTTTTCAAGATTAACGAGTGGGGGATTGTTGCCCAACTATCTTTTTGGAAAGATACATCGGCATACCGTTTTCTTTCTTTTCGGCTTTTCTCTATCGCTTCTTCTTCTTCTTCCTCTTTATAATATGAAACCTTAATTTGGTATATTACTTGGGCTTAAGCTTTTGGGCCATGTTGGTAACTTGGTATACCCACTCTGTCCAATTTGTTTGGCCAGTAGGTTGCTTGGGGTGTGACATGAAAATTCTTCAAACTGGACTTGACATGTACAGTGGCAAAAGATGCTATTTCAAGGTAGGCCTTTCATTGACTTATTTCTCATAGACACTATTTTAGTTGGTCTTGTTTATTACTTTTTTAAATGTTTGCCCACACGTAAAAGTTTCATATCTTTTTCTTTTCTCTTTCATTATATATATATATATATATATTTGATAAACAGAGCTAAATATGAGAATGAGCATCAAAAGGGGATCTCAAAATAGCTTATACCTCATTCTTTACTTAATAGACTATATGAAATCTAAAATATAATGGTGTCATCTGCTTATAATAAATGAGATAATATTTTAGGCGAACCACTCATTCGCCCCACAAGGAAATTGTCAAGAAAACCACCTTGAATTGTTCTTATCAAGAATTATAGATGGATAATGAGAGAGACCAGACCCTTTTCTTTTTTCTTTGTTTCCCTCCTTACTGTTCAAAGAAGAAGTCGTTCTGTTAAGTGTATACAGACTTTCTATGAGAAGCAATATAGAAATAGTGGTTGTCTAATGAGATACTATACTTGCCTTGGGAAAGTCGCATATTGTGCCTCTATAACCAAAGTGAACAAAAAAGATGACAATTGATCTCCTTGACACAAGACGTCTAGAAAAAACCTGCGGTAGATCCATTAACCAACAATAAAACTCGCACTGGCATATAATTATGTTACCTTTCTCCAAAACCCATCTTCTTCATCACATATAACAAAAATTCTTAGTTTACATGATAATACGCTTTTTCAATATCCACTTTGCAAACCACCCTTGGGTTACCACAACCTCAAATCCACACTCTCATTAGCTACAAAAGCAACATTCAAAATCTGTCTACTCCTCTGACACTACCTTTAGAAGTACCTTCTTCAATGGTCTAGCTAAAACTTCAGGTAGGATCTTATATTCCTTCCAATAAGGAGATGGGCCTAACATCCTTTGTATACTCTACCCTCCTTTCTTAGGAATCAATGACACAAAAACATTGAAACTTTTCTAAGAAACACCATGCTCGAAAAATAAGGATATCATGCCCAACACAACTATGTAGGCTTATTTAACGCCTTCCTAACACTATTGGAAAAAGGCAATAGTCATACTCATACACCAACCTACCCATGAGCTTATCTCCTTTTTGAGACTTCAATGCCACAACCACTTCCTCTTCTGAAAATGTCTTTCTAACCAATCCTTATCAGTGGTCACGATGCCACCAAAGTCCAGCCCATCCTCCTGGATCTGAGTAAAGCTCCTCATAGGAATCCTCTGTACTAGTTCTAATCTTCTCAACCATCCACACCCTAGCCCCAGTAGGAATTTTGCCTATGTATGAGCATTAGCCATTCTCTAAGAAAAATGGGTTTTTCCAGCACCCTCTTTAAGCCATAAAGCCTTAGCCTTCTGGTTTTATCTCGTTTTCTCCATCTTTGCAATGCTACCAAATTCTTCTTTCAAGTACTTTCTATGCCCCTTTGCGATAATGAGATTACGAACACTCTCAATCTCATTAAAGGCCTTTGTGTCCTTAAGAGCTGTTGGCTTTTGAATCCTGATTCCATTTCTTCAATTTTTCATTCAAAAGCTTTAATTTCATGTCTGAAATCAAACTAGGTCTTTCTTCAACTTGATAGCAGCTCCTCACTCACCAACCATTTGGGTAAATTACACTTACACGCCCTTGAGGATATTTATTTTTTAAGTCCTCCATCCCAAAATCCTAGGCACTATTATGTTACACTTTCAGCATAATCTGCATATATTTTATTTGGCGCTGGATTTTATCCCTTGAAAGATGAGTCTTTTGAATGTCTTGAGATGCAACACCAAAAAAATTTTATAGTAAGTTTTGGGGTTATAATTTTTTGAAGCTATTTCTCTTGTTCCTAGATTATGACCTAAGGGTTATGAACTTATGATCTTCTATGTGTGAAGGAAGTTTATTTTTTTGAGAGTGATTGCTCAAAACTGTTTCTTACTATTGTTTCAAATATAATTATGTCTCAATCACTTGAGAATCCCAGGACTTTAAAGCTTATACTAAGGAACCATGAACTAAAGCATCAATTGATGTGATGCTCCGTAATAGGAACAGTGAATGAAAATGTGAATTTAACTATTTCAATTTTGAGTGTTTGTTTGTGGCTATGCCTCCAATAGAGTATTTTCTTAAATGTATTTTTAAACTTTAATAAGAAAATGCCTCTCAGGAGATTTTAGTCGTGAAAAAGCAAGCTTTCTTAACTTCCCTTTTTCCAGAATTCTTTCATGATATCCCAACAACCAAAACGAATTAACTGATTCTGCAGCCAAGCTTTAAACTTGCCTTTATTTCAAGGTTCCTTCAACATGCATACTTAATTGAACATTGCTACATAGGCATACACTTGTAACTAAAGTTTTCTGTCTGTCTTTTCACAGTTGCGATAATATTGATAAAGTAGGGTTTCTTTAAACATGTTGCTGGACATGTGCATGTATTGAAAAGGCATATGTAATGTTTTTACGCTGCTAATACAGGTATGTTAGACGAATTGTTTTTGAAGGAGGACTCATTGTAGATCCAGATCAGGTAGCAGTCTGCTTTAGTCTCTCATTTTCTGCAGTTGATAGCAATTGTTTATTTTGTTATCTTGAATAATGAACTTTTTATCTCAGGGGGAGTTTCTCTGCCCTGTGGGAACCATGGACTTGCAAATTCAGCATTGCCTGCATTACCTGGAGATTCTCAAAAGGTTTCTAGACCAGCAATGGTTTCAACTGTCAGTTGGCCATATGCTACAGGCCAATTATCCTCTGCAAACAGGGAAACTGATTTCCTTCGCTTTCGGGAAGCCTGGTCTCTTGTACATAGTGCTGCTGATGTTGCCGGGAGGAGTGAAATCCTAAAAGCTTTTCCAATGCATCGAACGGGAAGGATAAGACCAAATCCTGAATCCATGTTTCGTGTACTATCTGGAATGTATTTTCTAGGCAAACAGGATAGGATTTCAGGATCTGCAAGGGTAAGCCACTCGGTAATTATGTGGGACACTCTTAATTATGTGGGACACTCTTAAGTACTCTCTTATTTCAGGATCTACTGCTGGTTTGCTGCTGCTGCTGCCGGTGTGCTGCTGCAGAATTTTGCTGGGCTGCTGCTGCTGCTGCAATGTTGCTGTGAAGCGGGCTGCTGCTAGATGCTGGTCTGCTGCAAATTTGGGTTATTGTTAGCCCTATGAATTCAATACATAATCGGGTAATTATTTTATTTGTGTGTGCAGTACATTGATAGGACAGTAGAGGATTGTTTCTTTAACTCTATGTTTACCTCAACTCCTAGTTGGCCAGAATGATATCTGATTGATTGTTCAACTTAAGATTTGGCTTTTTAGACTTTGTTCAGGCAAATGAGGGAATGTTGGAGAAGTGTCTTGAGGGTTTGGATTTAGTTCTTAAGGAATAAAATTACGGGTAGATTTTGATATGGTAGATTTATTGTGATGGTGGCTTGGTTTTTGGGAACTAAAATGACATTGAATGGAACAGTTACATAGATGATTTAGATGGCCCATTTCAAATGGATCATGTTGACTGAAATTGGAAACTTCAGGGATGGAATTGACAAAATTGGAACTTGACCAAAGTGACCTGAAACAACAAAAATATCATAATTATGAAAAGAGAGTGTGGCATACATAAAGCCTGGACATATTTATAAAAACTGAAATCAATGTTCTAGATGATGTTGATCTGAGGTGCTATTTTAGGGGTGGTGTGAAGATGACAAAAACTGGAGATTCAAGGTTGAAAGGTTACATCCTAGTGCCAAAAGGCACAGATTAGATTCAAAATGTATTGGATGAATCCCAAAACCAGTAATTCAACATTTGTTAAAGAGTCTTATAGTAAAAACTGAAAAACCCATGAACTTATGCACAAACATAACGTAACATTTGGTGCCCATATAACAAAAACCACAAATGATCACAGAACATACATACTTTTCCGTCTACAAATTCGGCTGGCAAAAAATAAAACATATTCGGAAAATACCTTTTTTTTAGTGTAACAAATTAAATTAAAAAAATCCATGTAATGCTGACTAAACTCTTCAAAGTCTTGTCCCAACTACTTGGGGGTCAGCTACAAGAATCCTGTTTTGCCATTCTGCTTGTTTAAGGGGCATAATTCAGTTAAAACATGAGCATACCCTCAATAGCATTTCAAATATTTATGTTTTTTTCCCCTTTAACAGAATGAGATTGTTTTACTATTTCTCAGCCTTGTTAAACATGACCTGAAGCTTCGTTTTGTTTTGCTGCATTTGGTTTTTGTTTCACAGAAAATTTGAGAACATGTGCAAATTTTTTCTCCTGTTTTCATAACATGAATTTGTTTTACTGTTAAATCTTTTTTGCATTTTTCCAGCTGTATGGTTCTTTTTTTTTTAGATTCGTCATTCATAGCTATGGATTTATGGATCATATCATATGTGAACATGCATGTCTTTCCTATTAAAAAAAAGAATGTTTTAAATACATAACCCATTATTAATTTCCTTTCAAAATTTAATTTGGTGCTAGATGTTTGTGAAAATCTGAATCAGACATGTCAGCATTCAAAGCAGCAAATCTAGCTGCTGTATTTGAAGATTTTATCCACTGGCATTCACCTAGAGATTGGGAGAATGATGACTTCGAAGAGAGTGGAGAAGTGTCTACAAATGATGCAATGGAATCGTTAAAAAACAATCGGCCTCCTCGAGGATGACTTTCAAAGAGAATGTCTGAGCATGGGAATTTGTGGCGAAAAATTTGGAATGGTGCACCTGCTTTGCCAGCTTCTGAGCAGAACCCACTTTTGGACCCTAATCGAGAAGGAGAAAAGGTAAAATTCTTTGTAAATGTGCACATCATGCGATTTTTTTTTTTAAAAATATTTGGACTACTCTAGCTTTTATGTTTCCCAACAAAATATTAGCAAATGTAGGATGTTACAACGAAGGTCTCAAGTTCATAAAACTGGTCTGCTGCTGCTGCTGCTGCTGCTGCTGTGCTGCAGAATTTTGCTAGGCTGCTGCTGCTGCAATGTTGTTTTGAAGCGGGCTGCTACTAGATGCTGGTCTGCTGCAAATTTGGGTTGTTGTTAGTTTCATGTTTTCATTTTGTTATCTGCTGTTTTTACTATGGGTTCACAATTTGGATGGATTTGAGTATTTTAGTGAGTTTACCCTTTTAGGTTTTATACAACGCTTCCAAAAGCATATTTTTCAGCAGTGTTTTTTTTGCATACACATCAACTTTAGGTGATTTAATATCAATGCTATTAGTTTGTAATAGCAGTGCCTGAGGGATGCCTCTTGTAAATATGTAAATCTTATAAAAAAATATATATGATTTTTAATTTTTTTTGCGGCTACAAATTTGTCGTTGCCAAAAAGTAAAGCTTTCTCGACAAACAACTTGTCGGTAAATGTGAAGCCAAAAGTTTATTTTTGTCCACACATATTGTGTTGTTAAAAGTGTATTTTTTGCTAATGCCAATTTGTCGTTGCCAAAACTAAAGCTTTATCGACAACCAAATCGTTGGCAAATGGTAACATTTACCGATGTAAATGTGTCGCTAAAAGTTACTTTTGCCCAATCATATTGTGTTGGTAGAAGTGTATTTTTTCCCAATGTCAATTTGTCGTTGCCAAAAGTAAAGCTTTAGCGACAAACAAATCGTCGACAAATGTCAACATTTACCGACGTAAATGTGTCGCAAAAAATTTACTTTTGCCGACGTCTATGTTGTTGGTAAAAGTATATTTTTTGCCCATGTAAATTTGTGTCGCGAAAAGTGCCACACAATCATCATATTTGAATGACTTTTACCAACGCAAGGTAAATTGCCAACGATGGATGAAGGCTTTTATCGACGACTATGTTCGTCGCTAAAGGCATTACTTTTACCAATGCAATGATAATTTCGTCGGCAAAAACTTTTGGCAACTCACTTTTGCCTACGGGTTGCCAACGTAGCTTTGTGTGTCGGCAAAACTCTTTGCCAACGAATTTTTCCTTTTAGCAACATATTTTGTTGCGTTGCGAAAAATGCAATTTCTTGTAGTGTTGGTTGTTCTGCCTTTGTTTTCTATTGTTGTGTCGTTTTGGCTGTGGCCAGTTGTAGGCTCAATACCCGGTTGAGAACCTTTTTCTCATTTCAATTTCAAAAATCGTTTTGTGCTCAGAGTGCCGTGTCGTTCTCAACATTTGTGCAAAACAGGATTCGTTCTTTCATAAAGCCGCAGGGTTCAACCCAGATCATGTCAGAATAGTAAAACAAGGACCTATCTGAAGCTATTTAGGTTCCGGACTGCAAAGCAAAAGAAAAGAGGGAAAATTTGGGGCATCTTAGGATGTTTCAACTTTAGCAAAATCTGAGACTGCATTCCAGGTGCATCTTGTCAGGACTCGCCTTCCTCTAGAGTATGAGTGTATCTCAACCCCAAGTGTAAGCTTGCTTCAAGTCAGAATGGCAGTCTAAGCAGCACCCGAGGGTTTCACATGCAGATGTTATCTCTCGCCAATATGAACAGCGTGTGCCCTTGTTGAGCTGAGTGTGTTGCGAAGTCCTCTAAGAGGCAAATCAGAGGCACCAGAGTACATATTTGATGCTCCTCTATTGCATAGAATGTGAACTTTCATATACACTGTTGTTGCATGCGTGCCGCGCATCGTTATGATTCATGCATAGAATATGCTTGCTTTCGATTCCGCATAGAATATGCTTTGCTTGTCTCATACATAGAATATGCTTTCAATATTCCATAGAATGTGCTTCCATACTTGCATAGAAAATGCTCGTATCTGTTGCGTAGAAAATGCCCCCATACTTGCATAGAAGATGCATTTTATCGCACTTTCTTGTGCATTTTATCTCACTCGCACTGTCTTGTGCACTTACACTTTGTATCTCACTAGCACTGTCTTGTGCATCTTGTGGTTGTATCTCACTCGCACTGTTTTGTGCATTGCGTATCAATCGCGCTGGTTAGTGTATCGCACTGTTTTGTGCATTTCAAATCAATCGCGCTGTTTAGCGTATCGCACTGTTTTGTGCATTTCAAATCAATCGCGCTGTTTAGCGTATCGCACTGTTTAGTGCATTTCAAAACAATCGCGCTATTTAGCGTATCGCACTGTTTAGTGCATTTCAAATCATTCGTGTTGTTTTGTGCAGGTTCAGGTTCGCGCTATTTTGCGCATCGCACTGTCTTGTGCACTTCCGTATTTGTAATCACTCGCACTTTCTTGCGCATCGCACTGTTTTGTGCAGTTTACACTTGCGTTATTTAGCGTATCGCACTGTTTTGTGCAATTTACTTTCGCGCTTTCTTGCTCATCGCACTGTTTTGTGCATTACATTGTATCATTCACGCTATCTTGCGCATCCCACCTACACTTGTTAGTATTTCATTCGCGCTATTTTTGCGCATCGCACTATTTTGTGCACCTTACTTGCATTGTGGATGCATTTTATCACGCTATCTTGCGTACCTTACCTGCACTTGTTAGTGCATTGCATCGCACTATCTTGCGCACCTTATCTGTATCGCACTGTTTTGTGCATTCACCCTACTCGCACTGTTTTGTGCACCTTTAGCTCGCACTGTCTTGTGCACTCACCTGGTCTGGAAAACCTTAAATCCTCTAGTCTAGGAGACCTTAAATCTTGCATCTTTATTCACATTGTCTTATGCACTCTCTGGTCTAGGAGACCTTAAATCCTCTAAAGGTGCAATTTCTTTGGTGTTTGTCGTGCCCGAACGACTTCCGGCGGTCTGGTATAGCCACCTGCCTGTGTTTTCAGTGAGTTCCTAGGAGACCAACTGGGACGGTGGAAACTAGAGTTCGAATGGCTCTTGCCTAGAATGCAAACGTTCGGGATTTCTGAGACTAAAGTCTGGTTTAAATACCCAGGGGTATATCCTCGGCTTGAAATCTGTATGGCAGCCCCATAGATTGAGATAGCATATGTATGCGCCTTAATTCTGGATACCGAATCAACTTAGTCTGTCACCCTGTTGGAGAAAAGGGAAAGCTGCAACCATAGTCAGGGAGAAAAGTAGTACCTGTGGTTCAACTGAGAAGAAGAGGAAGATTCCCACATTAGCATGAGGTAGGACATTGCCGAGGTAAGTCATTGCCAATTGCCCCTGTAAGGTACCTCCCTTTTCCTAGCTATCACATTGCATTTTAGTCATTACAGTGCATTACATAAATCCTGAATTTTCAAACCGGCTTCGCGTAGCGTATAAGTCCAATTTTCGAACCGGCTTCGCGTAGCGTGTAAGTCCAATTATCAAACCGGCTTCGCGTAGAGTATAAGTCCAATTATCAAACCGGCTTCGTGTAGCGTATAAGTCCAATTTTCAAACCGGCTTCGCGTAGCGAATAAGTCCAATTATCAAAATCTTTCTGCATATCATTTTGCATCCTGCCCTTGAACTACGCTAGTTTGATTCCTTGCAGAGGGACACATAGGCAGCTTGCGGGGGCAACCATTTATTTGTCTGTACTTTGTTTGTTTGTCCAAGTCTTCGGCCTTGTCAAAAATGGGTCGTCTCTGGGCTTTAACATTCACTCCCGTCACTTCTTGGCTTCCGAGTTCTGTCAAAAAGGGGCAACGGTAGACACCTCATTTTTGACCGCCCTTAAGACTTGGACGCGACTGATGGTTTACATGGTGGAGAAAGGTGTGCAGGGGAAAGGTTCAGTTTCTTCGGCAGGGAGAGAGTCAAATCTCAACTTCATACCCCTTTTTGGACCAAAACAATCTTGATCAATAGATTTTAGACATTAAAACCCTCTCTTTCAAAATGATTTTGAAATAAAGTTTTTACGACGTTCCGAGGCTCGCATTTTGTCAAATGTTGCGCTTTTAAGTAAACCGAGCAAGGACAAAGTAGAAATGAATGAAAGAGAGATGAAATCTTTGAAAAATATTTCAAAACACTTTGTTTATGGGTTTGGAGTTGAAGAAAAGAGGAAAGGAGAGAAGAAAACTAGTTTGGGAGAAGTTCGGCATGAATCTGGTTGGACCGAATCTGCGTGGCTTCACCAAAACAGGCGTAACGTTTTGTACAGGAGGAATTTTAATGCAAGGCTGGTTCCATTGGAAAGATAACTTCCGGGGCTTCAATTTGGAGACAAGAATGACCTAGAACGGAGTTCATATAAAGGATTTCTGGCCATTTGAAGTTGGACCTGGAAAGCAGAATTTTCCTAAACTAGCTGGGCGACCCGAAAAGGTGGCTGGCCGACCAGCCTCTCCTGAAAAGTTGTCGGCCGACCAAAAAAAGTGGCTGGCTGACCAAAAAAAGTGGCTGGCCGACCAAAAAAGTGGTCTACAGGTCCCAAACTCAAATATTTATCCTCCAGCTGCCTTCCACAACCTCCAGCTGTTCCAAACTCAGATTTTCTTTTGAACCAACTCTTGTATATGGCAATATATTAGTTATATCTCTCATTTTCAAGGACAATCTTCCTAAGCCAGTTTTGGGAGCTTCTCACTCTAAAAAATCCCTCTCTCACTAGAAATTCCACAGCCAAATCTCTGCCTCTCTCTCATTCTCTTGCCTTTGTGTGCATAGCAAGAGCTATACTTGGAGATATACCTCTCCTTTGCCTAGGCACCCTTGATCAAACTCAACTACCATTGGGCTGAGGTTCTTTGAGAATCATTTTGAGCACCAAAATTTGGTTTTCGCTCAGAGTTTGGACCCCTTTTGCTGCTGTCTTCCTGAGCTTCTACGGTAACACACCATTTCCCTCTTTTTTGCATTATTTTGCTTCCTATCTTAGCCCTGTTTACAAGCTTTTCTGGACTTTATCATAAACTGAAAAGTGTCTTATTTTGAGCTCCTCTTGAAGATTGTATAAGGACACGTTTCTGTTTGAGGTCATATACCTCCTTGTATGCTCTATCCCTCTTTGTAGGCTTATTTTGCATCATATCTTAGCCCTACTTGTGAGCCTTTTCGAGATTTTTCATAAGCTTAAAAAAGTTTCCTTTTGAGCTTATAAACATGTTCACTTAAGGTCACTTTTCAGTTTGGGGTCACCTTCCCCTTTGTATGCTTCATTCCCTCATGTTTAGGGGTATGCTTTAGAGCATTTGCATTGGCCTTGGTTTGGCCTTTTAGTCACTGAAATCCAGTGGACTTTTAGTGGTTTAGATGTGTCTTTGAGCCCTAAAATCAGAGGGGGGTGACCCCCTCTCTCCTTGTCTTGTTAGTTGGCCCTTTTGGCCTTCCAAATGAGCTCCATTTTTCATGTTGCGAAGTCACATTTC